GAAGGTGTCTCAGGGAAACAAGTGACTGCAGGGAGAAGCTTCGACAGAGGGCCTATAGGATGATGACGGGAAAGGAAGGAAAGATAGCGGCTTGTCACAGACAAAAAGTCCCATATCAGCTAGGTGCAGGGCCAAAAAACAATATTTAAGTTATGAGTTGTCCACCACCCCGAAGAGCTCTTTTGAGGGGCTGACAAATGGTATCAAAGTCATGTTACTGCGTGTTAGGTGTGTAGACTCTCCATGGTCCAGTGAGACCCTCGTTCAAGTCGATCTGTGACGAGGGCGTCACGTGATTGGGTGAAGGAGATTGTCACGGACAAAAAGTCCCACATTGGCTAAATTTAGGGCCGAAAAGTAGTATTTAAGTCCTGGGTTGTCCACCACTCCGAAGAGCTCTTTTGGGAGGTGACATGCAGCTCTAGTGTAAGACAACAACCACTAAGGTGGAAGATAGCAGAAAAAACAATAGCTTGCAAGGAGCTGAAACACAAGCTGACAGTTTTTAGGAGAAATCCAACATGGATAGGGAGGAGCAGGAGCCAGCATTGGGGAGGGCCTGTATGATGGCTGATTGTTGCAGGGATGAGTCCGACGCTGGACAATCGATAAAAGAATCCCTACTACTAGTTTCGAGAACTGGAGGAGATTTCCCGGGCCTGGTAGAAAAGATGTAAGACTGCAAAAGGGAAGATCAGCTCTGGCTGGAAGGAGATATGATGACTGGAGGGAAACATGCAGGAAAGCCTGTAGGGAAGAACAATGAAGAAAATAAGCCGCAGGGAATGGTTCACGCGTTGAGGAGCATTTGGGAGGTTGGCAGAATTATTTCAGCTCCTCTGTTTGCTCGGGAAGGAGTTTCCCACGGCAGCGTAGGATGCATCTTGCTGCTGCAGCAAAGAAGGACAACCTACAGGGAAGAATTCTGGTTGCCAAAAGAAAGACTGCTTGCAGGGAAGAGTTCTAGCTATACAGGGAAGGGCTGGAGTTTTGGATGCAGAGGAAGGCCTGCAAGGAAGTACCCACTGCATAGGAAGGCCTGAAGGAAAGTACCAGCTACAAGCTGACACAGAAGATTTTCAACTGATAAAAAATTACAAACTTAACCAAATATATCTAACTTTAAGTAAGAAAGAAAATAATTCTGAAATAAAAAGAAAATAACATAGAATAGGTAGAGAATAAACTAATTAAGAGTTTCCTAAGTTGTCTCAATCAATTTCTGGACAAGAGCTTCTCAGATTTCCACAAATTTTAACCCTTTTCTCATGAAACTAAACCCTTTGATCAATGTTGCTCGGTAAGTAAATATGAATTATGCTCTGGATATTACATATTGCATCGGATAAACTGACTAATTTCAATCCCAAACTCAAATTCACCTTCAATATGACCAAAACAAACCAAATCCAAGCTCAATTGACCCATTCTTTGAGCCTAATTTTGATTTAGATCAAAACCCCAATTTTGGCCACATGACTTGGTTCTACCAAATTGAACCCATGACCTACTCCATTTGCCACAATTTGTGTTGAAAAACCTTCATAACATCCCCATATATCAAATTTAACCTTCAATTGGCCTTGGTGAAACCTCAAATTCATTTGATAGATATCACTTCAAATAGATATCTCATATAACCGACATCAACCCTATCCCCCATCTTTGCTAATTAATCTAAACTAATTAAGAGTTTTCTCACTCTTCTCAAAAGCTGAGCAAGAGTGAACAAGTGATAGAGAGAGAGAGACGAGGTACATGTTGAAGGTATGAGAGAGGTTGAAGGTATGAGAGAGAGGGAGGGAGAATGTGATGGGGAATAGGGAGGCAGAAAGAGATATAGAGAAAGAGCAAAAGAGAGCTAGAGAGAGTGTAAGAAAGAGTAAGCATGGAGAGTGGGTAGAAGAAAGAGTGAAAGAGAGATAGAGGAGAGCTACAGAGAGTGATAGATAGTGAGACAGAGAAAAAGAGACAGAGGGAGGCAATGAGATATGGTGTGTGATAGAGAAAGGTAGTGAGCAAGAGTAATAGGATTGAGATAGAGATCGATGGAAAGAGAAAGAGGGAAGCGTAAGAGAGAAAAAGGGAAGCTAGACTAAGAGATGGGAAAAAAGAAACAAAGCAAATGAGATCATTTTGCGACAAATATAATGAGAAAAGAGAGAGACAAAGAACAAGATTAAGAGAGATAAGGACAAAGGGAGAGAGATGGAGAGAGGGAGAGATGGAGAACAAGATTAAGAGAGAGAAAGAGAAATAACAATAGAGGAGTGATAACGACAAAGGGAGAGAGATGGAGAGAGCGAGAGATGGAGGACAAGATTAAGAGATTCCACAAATTTTAACCCTTTTCTCATGAAACTAAACCTTTTGATCAATGTTGCTCGGTAAGTAAATATGAATTATGCTCTGGATATTACATATTGCATCGGATAAACTGACTAAAAACCAGCTTTAAAAATTTTAAATTCAACGTTTCATAGCCAAATCTACCTTTATAACTGTACTATGAACTGCTTAAACCACAAATAGAAGTCAGCAGCCACCATCAAAAAAGAAAAAAAAAAGAAAAAAGAAGCCAGCCAATAGAATTCAATTTTACAACTGCTTTTGCCCATTTCAGCAAACAAAATCAATCATGCTTAACCAATAAACTTTATAATTCCATAATTTATATTTTCAAGTTATTAAAAAAGAATTCTGACAGAAATAATATAGGAGAAACTGATACATTTACAACACAAAAATATTGTAAGAAAATACCTTCACATGAGAATGGGAAGCAGGTTTACAAGGAGGGATGGTTTACAAGCTATAGAATGGGTAAAAGAAGATAGTTTAATAACTAAGGGTGATGGGGTAGTATATTTGAGTTGTTAAAGAATTTTAACTGTAATAAAAATAAACAGAAGGTTTGAAGTGCTATATTTAAATATAGACATATTGAATGGTATGTATGTACATTCCTCTATTCTTTAATAAAATTTTTTATAATCTATTGATAAAAAAATCAGTCACCAGAACTCCCTGCAAGAACATTGGCCATCTCTAAAATGATGAAACCTGCTCTTATCTCTAATTATGATTACCCTCTCCATTGCCTTAGATACATACTTGCAGAATTCATGGCAATCATTGCATATCCTTAGATTCTTCATAATTCTTATGGGACACTCCAAATTGTTGGAATGCATAAGGCTGAAGACAATAGCAAGCCTCTCGCTATGTATCATTAGCGCTACTTCCTTCTCCTCTTCCTCCACATCATGCAATGCAAAAGTTGTCACTGGTCTATAACCAATGCCCCTCACTGTGCTGGTAAGCTCACACAAAGACTGATAGAGCTTGTTAGAATGAGCATGGGATCCCTCATAGAATACATTAACTTCCCCATCCAATTCAACAGAGCTATAACCTCCAACCTTCCTCAAATTGCTCAATCTCATCCATTCTCTAATCTTCTCAACCACATTCCACCTTCCTAAAGCCGCATACATGTTCGATAAAAGAACCTGGTATGAAGGTGTCTCAGGGGCCAGTTTTAGAATTTCATCTGCTGCAAGCTCGCCAAGCTCGGAGTTATGCTGAATTATGCAGGCATTAAGCAGAGCTCCCCAGACTGCAGCATCCAGATCCATGGGCATGCTTTGGATAAAATTATAGGCTTCTTCAAGATGCCCTGATCGGCCAAGAAGGTCGACCATGGCAGCACAATGCTCTCTTGTTGGTTTAGCCATGCTATAAAAGAGTTCCTTTCCCTGCTTAACCAGCCCTGCGTGGCTACAGGCTGAGAGCACATTGAGCATTGTCACATCATTAGGCAGCATTCCTTCATCACGCATCTGAGCAAAAACAGACAATGCTCTCTGACTATCTCCATTAATAGCAAACCCTCCAATCACAGTGCTCCAAGACACCACATTTTTTACAGGCATTTCATCAAACAGTTCACAGGCTTCATCCATGCTGCCACATTTTGCAAACATGTCAAGAAGGGCGTTCTCCACGAAGATGTTAGACGGCAAAAACCCTACTTTTATTCTAAAATAAAGCTTTCTTCCCAGTTCTAGGCACCCCAGATAAGCACATGAAGAGAGAATACAGGCCAGAGTTATCGTATCGGGCTCAACGCCGGCGGATTCCATCCGCCGGAAGTGGCCAATAGCCTTATCCGCACGACCGTTTTGAGAGTAAGCAGATACCAGGGCATTCCAAGAGACCAAATCCCTGCCATTCCCCATGCTTTCAAACACATCATCAGCACAATCTGCATCGCCAAGCTTTACATACATGACAACGAGTTCAGTACTCACAATGGTGTTAAATTCGAGACCTTGCTTCCCCGCCATGGCATGGACTGCCATTCCAACCCAACCGTCGAGCAGTCCAGTGCATGCCTTGAGTACAAAAGGGAACGTGAACTCATCAGGAAGGACGCCAAGGCGATGCATTTCGTGATAGATCTCAAGCGCCTCGGAGTATAGGTTACTTTTGACGTAGCCTCTCATGAGGGTGTTCCAGATGAAGACGCGCGGTTTGTGCATTTCGTCGAACAGGTTGCGAGCATAGGACATCTCGCCGGAGAGGGAGAGGGCTTGGAGGATTTGGGTGAGGAGGCTGTTTTTGAAGGAGAGGCCGGCGGTGAGGATTAAGGCGTGTATTTGCTTTAGGTGGTTGGGGTGAGAGTGGGAGCGGAGGACAGCGGCGAAGTTGAACTTGGTTTTCGGAGTGGGTAGGGGCGGCGGCGCTGCGGTGGCGGGAAGGGAACGCGGCCGGAAACAGAGATTGAGAAGGGGAGGAACGGTTCGGATAAAACGGCGGGAGAAGAGACGCATGGCCGGGAAACTGAATCATTTGATTAATCATTTCTACCTTAGTATTCTGCTGCAATTATATGCATACAGTCTGGTTATGTGAGTCAAGAAGAAGATGCAGGAGCTAGCCAACTCATTTGAAAAGAAAATATAACTTTAATTATTTTATATAATTTAAAAGCTCAAATATAAGCTCTTTTAAGTTGTGCAACAAAAGGAGAGCATTCCTACTATAAGGAATGCTCCACATGACGAGTGTGTTCTGCAGATTGTGCCTCTGAGGCCTAAGCCTCCGTTTGGTGCAGTGGTGCGGCGACGGTGCAACATCACTGTTTTGGCAAACTGTCGCTAACACCAACGTTTTCTCACCACTTCTGGCTAGGTGTGATAAGAACTTTTTAGCTATGGTCTAACTTTTTTTTTTTAAGAAAAAATTGTAATAGCCACGACAGCTTTTTGTAATATCAGATGATTCTTTAAGAGCTTCATAGCAGCTTCTTAATAAGAAGCAGCCACCTAAATGGAGCCTAAGTCGGATTCTACAAAGCCGGGTTATAGTTGAGTTAGGAATTATAACGTACTAATATGTTTGATTTAGAGGTATTGTGTAACATATATATATATATATATATAAATCTCCCAAAACAATAACATCATATTCTAAATGTTAGATTATTTTTTCTTTTTCAAGAATGGCGAGCCCAAAATCTAATATATGTAATTCGAACCGATGGCCACACGATGAGAGATTAGAATTCAATCACTATGTCACAAAATAAGTATGCTTTAAATGTTCAATTGTTATTTTGAAGAGTCTAACATTCTTTGATGTTAAAGCCTACAAGAACGAGCTTTGCCCCCATTTCCTATCACGAGAGATGCAAATGAACCAAAGCCAAATAAATGAAGCTATACAAGTCTTAATAAATTCAAATACTACAAATAAAGGGTATGTTTGGGCAGCTGCAACTTATTGAATAATCTGCTGATAAGCTGATTAAAAATAATATGCTGATAAACTAGGTGCGGTAACTATTACAAATTTTTATTTTTTTGGAAAAGCCAGACCACAATCAGAAAGCTGCTACCGCACCTGGTGCGGTGTGAAAACGCTGTTTTCAGTATTTTGAAAACACATAAGCTGCCAAAACGCAGTTTACCCAAACGTTTACCCAAACAAGTCAGATGCGTTTTCAAAACGTCACCGTACCAAATAAGCTGCCCCAAACAAACCCAAAGTTACAAGGTAATTTTTTTATTTCATAAATTGTTTATTCATGTAAAAGAGCAATTTTTATTAAAGCAAAGTGCTCATAAATTGCTTAGGAAGACCAATCATGAATATAAGCTCCTCACCTAAAATGTTAGGTGCATTTTCATACATACCCATCAATTCTTATGTATGTACATATCTAACAGTGTACATGTATACCATCGAAATTATTCATATCACATCAAAATATACTGGCTCAACTTTTGAAAGTGAAATACATATTTTCATGCATAAGATAATACATATGTAAAAATTGAAGTTTACGTGTTCAATATGTAAATACATAGGAATTGAGTGGTATGTTTGTAAATCTTCCCAAGAAAAAAGTACCTCCCTTTTATTGTCTTCATGATATTATTGTTTTGTTCAAAAAAAAAAAATTAGTTTGCATGCTCTCAATATATTTTTGTGTTTTAAAAAAGTTGTGATATCTAAATGAAGGAAAATAGTAAATAAAAAATATAAAACCAAATTATAATTATTTTGAAGATGTAGATTTAATTAATAATTGTGTGTGTGTTTCTCTCTCTCTCTCTCTCTATCTCTATATATATATATATATATATATATGCAAAAAAAAAAATTATATAATATGTTTGCCCCCCCACAACACTGTCATTGCCGAGTCCTAAGCCCGTGATGTGAAAAGTGATGGTCGACAACCAGGGTAAAATTTATCGAAAAATCATGGCATTAATCATTTTGATCCTTTTGTCATAGTTTAAAATTATGGGAGAAGGTAATTGAATATATGTTAAAACTTATTACAAAGATTTCTCATAATTATTTTAGATTTATGATATGACGGGCATGCCTACAATGGAAAGCTATACATTTATTAAGAGGTTTGATAGAGAAGTACAGAGAGAATAAGAGGGATCTACATATGATTTTTATTGATTTAGAAAAAAACTTACGATAAAGTTCCACAAGATATCCTTTGGAGAGTTCTAGAGAAGAAATGTGCTGATATGACTTATATTCAAGTCATTAAAGATATTTATACTAGAGTTGCAACTTGTCTTCGAACAGTAGAAGGTTTGACCAAATATTTTCTTATTTTAGTAGATTATATCAGGGATCAACTTTAAGCCCATATCATTTTGCTTTAGTCATGGATGTTTTTACTGGACATTTATAGGAGGATGTACCTTGGTGTATGCTTTTCTTTGATGATATCCTTCTTATGAATAAGACTAGAGAAATAGTTCAAAAAAAACTTGAATTATAGAGGTCTACACTGGAGTCTAAAGGCCTTTGTTTGAGTAGAACTAAAATTGAATATGTGGAACGTAATTTTAGTCGTAGTAGCTTTAGTGGCATCATTATAGTTATGGGTGATCAAATTATTAAAAGGTTTAAAAGGTGTGAATGCAAAGGTGTGAATGCTTTAGATATCTCAGGTTTGTTGTTCAAAGTGATGGTGATATAAATGGGGATGTTATTAGTAGAATTCAAATTGGTTGGTTGAAGTGGAGGAATGTTCCAGGACTATTGTGTGATAGAAAAGTACCACTTAGACTGAAAGAAAAATTTTGTAAGATGGTAGTGAGACTTGCAATGCTCTATGCCACAGAATGTTGGGCTTGAAAAGATAAGCACAAAACTAAGTTAAGTGTTGCCGAGATGAGAATGCTTAGGTAGATGAGTGGCCTTACACTGAAAGACAAAATACAAAATGAATATATATGTGATAGGGTTGGTGCAGCTCCAATGATGGATAAAATTAGAGACAGTCGCCTTATATGATTGGTTACATTAAACGTCGATCATCTGATGATTTAGTTAGGAGAGTAGATGTTTTAGATTTGACTTGTGTTAAGAAAGGTAAATGTAAATCTAGAAATAATTGGGCATAAAAAATGATCTTAATTTATTAGAATTAAATAAAAATATGACGGTCAATAGAATGCAATGGAGAAAAGAATTCATGTAGCCGACATCAATGAGATAAAGACTAGTTGTTGTTGTTGTTATTGTTGAATCTGTCTATTAATCTTTCATCATTTTGATTTCGAGACTTCTATTTTTAAGGAAATAAATATAATTAAATAATATTTAATAGCTTTTTGTTATGGAAATCTAACTTTTTTTTCTCGTAATGTACATAATTGGCTAAATATTTTTGCTATGTGTTTATTGGAACATTTATGCCTTTAAGACAATTTTGAATGAAATACCAATGATATGCCTATATCTATACAAGACTATATTGCACATAAAACATTGAGGAACACTTCTTATACCTACTCCATACAAGTTCAATCGTTTTCTCTTACAACATTTGATAATTTAATTATTCTTTATTCTATTATTTGCTTCATATTAGGACTTAACAATATAATTCTATAGTTAGAGATATGATGAAGTAACCAACTTTGACTATCATGAATAAGTTATTTAAATGTTTAAATGCTATCATAGACATATGACCGACTTGTTTTTCTCAATAATTTATATCATAGACATCTGATCAGATTTATTTTCTTAATAATTTATATGATTTTTTTTTTTAATTTTGATTGAAATCACATTGAAGCAAATTGTACAAAGGACAAGTCATGTGATCAAAGAAATATATTTAACTTGGCTTCAATTATGAGTGAAATAAGATTGAGCATTGATTGAACTATGTTGATTTGAATGTTGTTCACAAGGTTAAAATATGTTTCAAACCATAATTTGCATAAGGATCTATTCAAAATATATTTGAATTTTAACCAATCCTCCTCAATCATCGTTTGAATAAGCTTTAAAATATTTATATGATATGTGTTTGAACCTGATCAAACTAGATAGTACCGTTATATGTTTCTATATTTAAAATATTTTGTTTTTCAAGTAAATTAAATTTCAATCTTCTAGTGTTGAAGAGAAAATTTTTGAGTTGGTTGATGGTTTTGTTATGTATTAGTTGGGAATATCTCATAGACTATATATATAGCTACACAAATGGATAATAAATAATTAGTTTGAAATAATAGGTGATGCATTATTTTGGTGGACCATAATTTTTAAAATAATTTTTTTCAACAAAACAAATTATAGAATATGATGTAACACTCTTCTTTGATGAGTATCTATTTCCATCCCCACTAATCTTCCATTTATATGTCAATTGTATTAAAAAAAATTATCAACTATAGATTATATCCATGATAAAAACATATATGCTTATATATACAAAGTGTCTCCAAATGAACTTAATGTAAGTTTAATCACTTCAAATGATGCATTAAATGCCAATTTATGAGTATTTGAAGGCCGTGTTAGAGAAATATAAGATGAACATAATAATGGCTCTATGCATGCTTCATGATTGTTACAACAAAACTGTAAAATAAAACTCAAGCTAACAAATAAGTGAATTCATTAGCTCTTTATGTGCCTTGAGGATAAAAGCAATAAATAATGATATTGAGAACACATTAAGAACATCATACTTATAATGGCTCCTAAAATTCGCTCTATTGGCTTATAATTTTAGCCTAATTCACCTCCCTCGCCTTGGCCATTTTGAGCTTGTGTAAACCAAGAATTCATATAAGAGCTACAACTTTATAATTATTAGCTTTACATTCAAAGAGTGCTCCATAGAATGTACACATTTGAATTTCTATTAGCACTTTAAAATAAAGTTTGATGAAAATTGAATGAATGTCACGTCACAACATGACCATGGCATTCTATTTGATTAGTTCAAAAAATAGAATGATGATGTATTTGTAATATTATGACATGAGAGCTTAGAACCTTATTTTAAAGGGTACAAAATTTCTACGATTATCACCATAGACACGAATGAAATTCATAAACTAATAGAGGATTAGCTCCTTGGTGAACAAGATTTAGGTTTACTAATTA